GAACCTGGCGTCGGCGAAGGAGCCGGGTCCGGGGCTGGGGCCGGAGAAGCAGGAGCCACACTCATGGGAGCAGCCGGCGTAGCCATCTTATCGAGAAAGAGGAAGCCTAGGGCGGAAGGGGTTGTCACTTGGTGATTATTTGGAACTTGATAGGCTCAGTATGTACCTCGTGGACTAAATTTTGGTGCCTATTGGTTAGAACTGACGCTTTTCTGGCCCTAAATTTCCGGTTGTTTTGTAATTTTTCCGGAATTTGTGCTCTTTGCTTTCCGTCCGATACGCAACCACTAAGATGCGTAGTTACAGTTCCGAATAAACTTGGGACCTCATTAGCAAAGAAACAAATAAATCCAATCTACATAGATGTCTCTAGGTGGAGCTAGACAGCAGCACAAAGGTCATAATTCCTGTTTTATTTACACTTTTGTGGGATATTCAAAGTTCCTTTTAAAAGCACTTTGTTCTTGACAACATCACAAGGTGTCATTACAGAGGTTTATTCGTTTAACCTAATATGTGCCAGACGCTCATCCCAAACACAACCTCACTTGGGTTGTATCAGTGAACAAAACAAACAAAAGTTTACATTCTAGCGGGGAAAGAAAAATAACAAAATACATATTATGTTAGAAAATGCTATGATTGATATGCAGTAGTTATTAATGTTAAGTTGTGTTATGAAAAAGGAACAATTCGCAGAGGATAAGGGGGAGTTGGAGTGGGAGGTTCAGAGTAGCTTTCAGGATTCAAGGTAGCCATCCATTATTTAGAGGTTCTTGGGGAAAGAAGGTAGAAACAGGCCTGGTGAATCTCAGGGGGTGTTTGGTGGCCAGAGCGTTAAGTTTTAAGGAGAAAGGAGGATGGATCCCCTAAAAACCACCTATGTTTTAAGGAATTGGCTTTTGTGATTAGGGAAGCTGAGAAGTCCCAAGATCTGCAGTCAGTAAGCCAGTGATCCAGAAAAACTGGTGGTATTGGTGGTATTGGTTCCGTCTGAAAGCCAGCAGGCTTGAGATCCCTGAAGAGTCAGTGCTATAACTTGGATCAGAGGGCTAGAGAAGAAGGTAGGCAGAAGGAGGCTTCTCTTATTGGCAGGAGAGTTAGCCTTTTTGTTCTGTTCAGGCCTTCAATTGATTGAATGTGGGTCAATACTGATTCAAATATTAGTCTCCTCCCAAACTCGACCTCACAGACATTTTCAGAAAAATATTTGGAACATGTCATGACCTATTTAAATGGCCACATAAAACAAGCCATCACATACTGGCTTCTGGTTGTCCTGAGGAACATGCTTGCGAAGTCTTGCCTGAAAAGACCAGGTTCACATCTGCCAGGGGGATTGAGCACATTAAAGGTGAACCCTGCAGGTTTATGTACTCCTACCGTCTTAGTGATTGAGAGTCTCTGTCTCTTTCTCTCTCTGTCCTCTTCTTCCTTCCCCTCCCTCTCTCTTAACTGTTCCCCCGCTTTTTTTGTTTTGTCATTCTGTGTTTTATGTCTGTCGGTATCTTTTTTATCTCACTTCTTTTTTTAAAAATCTTTATTGAGTTTATTGGTACATTTTAGGTATACAATACAGTTACATTCATCATTGGGACTTTGTACCTTGACATGATGTATCTTGGTTCTTATTTTTCTCCGTTCTCCAGTCCTCACTTCAGCCCCTCCACCCTTCCCTGTTTACAAAAACATCGTTTCCATATTTTCCCTTTCCATATAGTTTTCTTTTCCCTTTTTCCCTTTGCCCTCCCCCTCCCCCTTCCTCCACTCTTTTAGACCTTTTCTTCCTATTACACATTATCAATTATACATTTTGTTCCAAATTTACACTTTTAGTTTTTCACGCCAGAGAAACTATTCAGTATTTAAACACGTGTGTTGTGTTTCCTATTTATTTCACTTAAGAGTACGGCCTCAATGTGCATCCACTTAGCTATAAATACCTCTAGTTTTTCATTTTTTATGGCTGAATAGTACTCCATTTTATATTAAAAAAAACCACATCTTTTTTAATCCAGTCTCCAGTTAATGAGCAATTGGGCTGTTTCCAGTTTATAGCTATTATCTTTTTGTCTCATTTCTGGTCTCTGTTTCTACTCCTTTCCTTTTTTGGAACTCAGTTGCTCTCTTTATCATTTCTGCCCCCAGCTGGCCAGGAAGGAAGGGCTCAGTTAATTGCTTGCTTCCAGCCCTCATTACTACTTTCTTAGGTGAGATTCAGAATCTCTGGCCTGGTAATCTCAGGACCTGACTTCACAATAAGTGACCTCTCTGCTCTCTGTCACTCTGTCTACCTGACTGTGTCTTATACTTTTATTTTTCTTATACTTGGTTCCTTGGTCTTGCTTCCTGGCTGTCTTGTTTCTCTCTCTAGCCTGAGCTTGGTCAAATCTGTGGAAAGACCAATTCCCGCTCCTGCCTGCTCTCTTGAACCCTGGCTGAACATTGAGCATGAGGCAGTTTTGGAAGAGGAGGAGAGACAGGTACGCAGGACAAAGGCTGGCAGTTACTTCATGACATCTCCATTCTTTACCCATTTTCTGGCCACTCACTCTCTGGAGAGTTCATATTTCATATAGACTATAGTGCCTGCAAGACGTGACCATGCTCACCTTTCTACCACAAAACCCATACACCCAACTTTCTCTGTCAAGTAGCTTCTCACATTCCTTGGGTATAAGTGGAGGATGCTCCCTCTATCCTCTCATCTGAAATCAACCTTTTGTCTTTGCTTTTAATTTATCCAAGTCTCCATTCTCGGTTCCCTCCACTGATTCTTCCTTTGCATTTCTGACCTGACTCTTCCGTTAGATGCTTTCTTGTCAGCGTATTCCTTTCCTTGCTGTGTAAAAACCAAGGAACTCTTATCTTGACTCCATATTTCCCACATTACTTTTCTAATTCCGTTGGTTGCCAAGCTTCCTGGAAGATGCGTCTATACATGTTTACTTATTCACCCCCTTCCCTTTCTTGGCTGAATTGATTTTTATTTTATAAAATATATTCTCATATTTTAAAAGTCAACTAGCATGAAAAAGTTTCTACCTCCAAAATGTAGTCACCCTTCTCCTTGAGGCAACTACTTAGGATTTTATGAGAGGGTACGTGGGCTCAGTGTCATGGCTCCTGCTAAGAAGCTGAGTTATCTTTACTATCTGGCCTTTCCTTTACCAACCATAAGCTTTTTTTTACTTAACCATCTTCCAGCTTCCCCTCCCTTTTTCTTTCTATCTTTACCTCTTCCCATGAGGATGTTTTAGAACAGTTACTCACATATTGCCACACACAGAGACTTTTTTCTTTTTTTTGGGTACCAGGGATCGAACTTGGGTCCTTGCGCTTGCAAGGCAGGCCACAGAACCACTGAGCTGAATTCCTGGCCCTAGAGACTTTTGCACTATACATATTGGAGATCTATTCTTGCTAATGCATGAAAACATACCTTTCCTGCACAACATGCGCAAGTTTCCATCAGCACATTCCCATGAGCTCATATGGATATGTGTGTGCACTCACACCTATAGATACCCACACCACAAAACATAGTGGGATAGATATACATGTGCACACACATACACACACTCATTTACACACATACCAGTTCTTCCCTATGAAGCCAGAACTATAATCTTCAGAGAGTACAAGCTAGAGAGGAGAAAAGATAAATCTAAAGAGCAACGACAGAGTTTGAAGGGTTCATGTTGCATTTTTGTTGTTCCCATATTTGTGTTTCCCTTTCTACATTCTCACTTTTGTTTCCCTTTTTTCGTTTCCATCTGAAACCCCATTTGTCCGGCTCACATGAAAGAGAAATGTACTGAGAGCATATGCGCTGCCTAGGGGAAAGGCAAGACAGGGAAGTCAATGGCAGCTACAACCCACTGCTCCTGGTGGTCAGGCCCCACTCAGGGAGTCCAGGATCACCTGTCTAGCATGACCTGGAACAGGACCTGGACTCTGTGGTGATGGAGGAGCTATTTGATCCAGAGGAGAATCCCTCCTCAGCTCCATCCTTAGTTGTGCTTCAGGAGTCTGCTGGCACTGGGAAGAGAACCCTGGCCAGGAAAATGGTGTTGGACTGGGCCACAGCTATCCTGTACCCAGGCCAGTTTGATTATTGTGTGTGTGTGTGTGTGTGTGTGTGTGTGTGTGTGTGTGTGTGTGTGCTGCAAAGAAGTAAAACTGCTGCCTGAGTGCAGCCTGCACCAGCTCCCATTCTGGTGTTGAGAAGACAATCCAGCCCCTGTCACAGAGATTCTGAAGCAGCCAGAGGACTACTGTTCATCCTGGATGGCTTTGATGAGTTACAGAGGCCCTTTCAATGAGAGCTGAGTAAGCATTGGTCAAGTCCCATGGAGAATGTGCTACACATTTCAATTAGGAGAAAGTCACTTCCCGCCTTCTCCTTTCTCATCACTACATGGCCCTCTGCTTTGTGGAACCTGGAGTCCATACTGGGTGAATGGTGCCATGTCTATGACTTAGGCTTCTCTGAAAAGGAGAGGAAAAGATATTTCAGCTTCTACTTTATGGGTAAGGAAAAAGCCAGAAATGCCTTTGACTTTGTACAAAAGATGATGTTCTCTACAAAGCATGTCAAGTTCCAGGCATTTGCTGGGTGATGTGCTCCTGGCTGAAAGGGCAAATGGAAAAAGGTCAGGCATCCTCTGGGACACTGAGCAGTAGCACTGACAAATTCACTTCCTGTCTCTACCTTCCTGCCCACTGATGACGATGGCGGCTGCTTTGAGCTTACCTGGCACAGGTTCTTAAGGGATTTGTTTCCTTGGCAGCTGAGGAGATTCAGCACCAGAGGTCCCCGTTTGAAGAAGCGGATTTCAGAAGGCACAATTTAAATAGGCCTAGACTTGCTGCTTTCCTGATCAGAAACAATTACCAATATCAAGAAGTTCTACAGCTTTTGATCCATTAGCTTCCAGGAGTTTTTTCATGCCATTTTCTACTTGATGATGGAGGACCAGAGTTAGGTGGGGGAGGAGTACCATAGAGAAGTGGACAGGCTGCTGGAGGTGAAGGAACAGGAAAAGAATGAAGAGATAACCCTCACTGTGCAGTTTTTAATTGATACATTGAAAAAAGAGAGTCCCTTGAACTTGGCGCTCAAGTTCTGCTCCAAATTTGTTTTTTCAGTAATGCAGGATTTGATGCATTTTAAAGAACAAGGGAAATTTATAAAGCACAATAGGACCTGGGGTTTGGAATTTTCCCTGTATGATACTAAACTAAAGAATTTTACAAAGGGTGTCCAGATAAATGACATAACATATTCAAGATAAAACATTCAAACAAAAGGAAATTACATGGTGGGAAGACATTTTCTGTCAAAACTAACTGGAATAAAGGACAGGAAGAGGAGCAAAAATATCTTCTTATGGGCAAAGGTAAAGGAGCTAGGACCCAAGACTGGTTTCTAATGCAAAAGGCAGACAGAAGTAGACAGGAAGCTAACAGTAGGATGGGAAACAGGAAAGGGGGCAATAGAGATGGAAGATTAGAAGGATGGTGGGGTAAAGAGTGCTGGAATGTTGAGTGCTGGTCTCTGCCACTGCCAGCTGTTGCCATTCAATACGTTTGTGCTGGATTGTTTTGGTCAACTCTGCTGGTAGCTGCTCTCTGTTGCTGATCTTCATTGGTTGCTGGTCTCTGGAACTCTTCAGGGCTAACAGCCTCTAGTGTTTATTGCTTTTTCTTTTAAAGCAACCACTCTGACCACACCACTCATGATAAGAATCTTGAGTAGATTTATACAACCTTCTGAGAGATAAATCACAAGCAGGTTTCTAGGCCATTGGAGCAAGTCTTTATCCTAACAAGATTTGTACAACCACATGGGGGTATTTAATTTTTCTTTATGTTTTGCGAATAGTACTTTTTTCTTATTTCTTTCTTATTGAATTCATTATTGGTATACATGAAAGCTATTGTGTTAATTTTTTATCCTGCTACATTCCTGAAATTGGTTGTTAATTCTAAGAGTTATTAATTCTGAGATGTGTAGAATATTGTATCATCTGAATATAATAATTTGACTTCTATCTTTTCTACATGTATCCCTTGTACTACTTCTTTCTTTTGCATGATTTCTCTGGCTAATATTTCAAGGAGTACATTGAATAAAAGTGGTGATAGTGGGCATTTTTGTCTTGTTCCTGATTTTAGAGGGAAAGCTTTCAGTTTTTCCCCATTTAATATGATGTGGCCTTTGGTTTGTCATAAATGGCTTTTATAAGGTTCAGGTAAGATCCTTCTATACCTATGTTCTTTGGGGTTTTTACATTGAAGGAGTGTTGTCAAAAGCTTTTCCTGCATATATTAACTGATCATGTGGTTTTTATTCTTATATCCAGTGTATTACATTTATTGATTTGTATGTGTTGAATCATCCTTGCATCTCTGGGTGAGACTTGCTAGGTCATGATATATGATCATTTTGATGATGTGCTTCATTCTATTTGACAAAATCTTATTGATAATTTGTGCATCTCTGTTCATTAAGGATATTGGTCTGTAGTTTTCTTTTTTGGCTGAGTCTTTGAGTTACTTTTCTCATTGCTAAGACAAAATACCCAACAACCAAAGTTAAAGGAGGAAAGGTTTATTTAGCTTACAGTTTGTAGAGGCTTTAGTCTTTAATCTGCTAGCTCCAAGGCAGGGTAGTGTGGCAGAGGAGAAATAGTTTATGGGGGGAAGAAGGTAGCCAAACAACAAGAGATGACCACAGCTTTTTCTATCCCTTATATTTTATCCAGGGTTCTTAGGGCAGGTAGCTCTTGCACTCTTAGTCCTAATGCCCTTAATCCTAGCATTGCACTATGAACCAACACCCCAGCATCACATACTCTAGATCCAGCAACCTCTGAAAAAGCTCTATCTATGACTGCACAAGGCTTTGGAGATGGGGGACATATAGACACAGCCATAACAGTCTTTGTCTGGTTCTGGGATCAGAGAGATGCTAGCTTCCAGAAATGAGTTTGGAAGCACTCCTTCCCTTTTAATTTGATTTAAGAGTTTTAGGATATTGGTGATATAATGTCCTTAAATATTTTGCAAAATTCAACAGTGAATTTATCAGGTCCTGGGCTTTTTTATGTGGTAGTTCTTTTTTTATTGCCTCAATTTCATTGCTTGCTATTGGCTTGCTCAATATTTTTATGTCTTCTTGGTTTAGTTTTTGTAAGTCATATGAGTCTATGTACTGTCCACTTCTTTGACATTTTCCAATTTGCTGGAATATAATTTCTCATATTATTTACTTATTATCTTCTGGAATTTGATGGTGTCTGTTGTGATTTCATCTTTTTCATTTTAAATTGCATTGATGTGAGCCTTTTGTCTCTTTGTATTTCAAACATTTTTTCAATTTCATTAATTTCCACTCCAATCTTTATCACTTCCTTCCTTAATTTTGGTTTGGGCTTAGATTTTTCTTGTTTCTCAAGTATTTTGAGGCTCCTCATTAGGTTACTTATTTGAGTTCACTCTATTTTGTCAGTATGAGCATTGCAATAATCTTCCCTTAAGACTGCTTTCATTGTGTCCTATAGATTCTAATGCGTTGGACTGGCATGGTCATTTGCTTCCATTAATTATTTAATTTCTTCCTTGATTTCTTCTGTGACCCATTGAGTGTTCAGGAGTGTGGTATTAAGTTTATACTTGTTTCTAAATTTTCTCTGGTTTCTTCTATTTTTTTTTCTAGTTTCACTGAACAATGTTCTAATAGTATACACAGGGTGATTTCTATTCTTTTACATTTATTTAAGCAGGCTTTGTGGCCTAGTATTTGATATGTTTTGGAGAAATTTCTGTTTGCTGCAGAGAAGAATATGTACTCTGTTGTAATAGGGCAAAATACTCTGTAGATATCCATTAAGTTCATAAGTTCAAGCTTTTGGTTCATTTTGACATTTATTTATTGATATTTTGTTTAACTGATCTCTCTTTGTAAAAGTGGGTTATTAAAGCCATCCACTATGATTGTGCTAATGTTTCTTTGATCTTTTATGTCTAGAAGTATTTTTTTAGCAGTATTTGTTTCACAAAGATGAGTGTTCCAATGTTCAGTGCCTATACATTTACAAGTGTTATCTCTTCCTATGGGATTATTCCCTTAACTAGTATGCAGTGATCTTCTTTGTCTCTTCTGATCAGTTTTAGCTTGAAATTTACTTTTTCTTTTCTTTTTTTTTTTCAGCTTTAATTGAGTTTATTGGTACATTTTAGGGATACAGTACAGTTACATTCATTGTTGGGATTTTGTACCTCTACATGACAAGTCTTGATTCTCATTTTTTTCTCCTTACCTCTGTCCTCCCTTCACCCCCTCTTCCCCTCCCCATGAAATTTACTTTTTCTGAGAGTAAAATTTCTACTCTTGCTTGTTTTGGGGTATTTGTGTGTAAAATATTGTTTTCCATCCTTTGATTTTTTAGTCTATGAATCTTTTTTTTTCTCATTGAGTATATTGGTACATCTTAGGTATACAGTATAGTTACATTCATCATTAGGATCTTGTACCTTTACGTGACAGGTCTTGGTTCTTATTTTTTCCCCTTACACCTGACCCCCTTCACCCCCTCCTCCCTTCCCTATTTACAAATACTTTATTTCCATTTTTTCATATTTTTTTCTTTTCCCTTATTTCCTTTCCCCTACCCTTCCCACTTCCTTTATATCTTTAGCCCTTTTCTTCCTATTTCACAATGTCAATTATACCATTAGACTCTTTTTTGATTAAATACATTTCTTGGATGCAACAGACTGTTGGATTCTGTTTTTAGATCCAGTCTAACAATCTGTGTCTTTCAATTGGAAAGCTGAGGTCATTAACATTGAGAGTTATTTCTGAGAGGTGTTGATTAATTCCTAATATTGCACTCTTTCTCTGTTGATGATTTCTTCGTTTTTTTCCCCATTTTTTGTTTATGTATTCAACTTTCTTATTGTATTCATTCCATCTGGATTTTTGGCTTTATTGATTTCATTATATCTAAGATATTCTTGAATTCTTGAATATTTTCTAGCATGTTGGTTTGTTATTCATAAATTTCTTGAGTTGCTCTGTTTCCTGGAATGTCCTTTATTTATTCATCTATTTTGAAGGAAAAATTTGCTAGATATGTTAATATGTTCCTGCTGGCTTGCACCACTGGTGGTACATGCATGCCTATCCCATTGGGCAGTTTTTTTGTTTGTTTGTTTGTTTTTTTTACTGGGAATCAAACTTAGGTCCTTGTGCTTGCAAGGCAGGCAGTGGAACCACTGAGCTAAGTCCCCAGCCCCCATTAAGTTGTTTTAACCACTTAATGTGTCTGTCCCATGCTGTCTGACAGGACAGTCATGCCTGTACTACTGGTGGTTCAATCTGGCAGGAATGTAACACATTCAAATCAGAGCTGCCCAACAGCTGTGCCCAACAAACTACGTCTCAGTCATGAATATATTAATCTGTGTTGGAAGTTGTTTGTTTTTAGGGATTGAAATATTTTACTCTAAGGTCTTCTGGTCTTTGTTTGCGTTGAGAAGTCTTCTGTAATTCTAATGGATTTACCTTCATATGTGATGTTTTTGCTTTTCTCTGGCCACTTTGAAAATTCCATTTGCTTTTTTTGGTTGTTGTTGTTGCTGTTGTTGTGGGGAATCTGACATTTTAATTATAATGTGTCTTTGAAAACTTTATTCATCATGGTTGGTGTTCTGTAAGCCTTGCTTACTTGTATGCTGAACTCTTTCCTCATATTTGGGACATTTTCTATATGATTTTTGTAAGCAAATTTATTATTCTGTTTGCTGTCTTCTAGTTGCTCTCCAATCTGAATTAGTATTATGTTGGGTCTTCTTAGTGTCATCTAGTAACTGTTGGGTGAATTTTTCTTGTTCTCTTATCTTTTTTAGGTTTCTCTGAGTAATTTGTCATAGTTTACCATTTTGTGCTCAATTTCAGAAACCCCGTCATCAGACTAGTTATTTCTACAATTTATGAATTTTTATGCAATCTTTCTATTTAATTATTTACATGTGCTATTTCTGGCTGATACATTTTCATGGATTCTATAACTTTGGTAAATTTGGAATGGTTTTGGTCAGCTATTCCAATTTTTTGTCTCCCTCAATTCCATATTAATCATTTTGTGTTATAATTCTACAAACTTTCAGGTCATGTCTTTTTTGAACTCATCGACTTCCTTTAACTTATCTTTAATCAGTTTGTAGCACTGTACCAGCTGGAGCTTGCTTTCCTTTTCACTGGTGATCCCTGGATCTGGCTTGGGAG